TGTAATGAGCCCTCTTAACAATTACAATCCTCGTTCAAACTTCCTTTAGTGGAAGTTTGAAAAACATGTGAACCTTACATATGGGGTTAAAATTGTCCTTTTAGTATAAACGAAGAAGACCAGAACATTATCGTTTGATTTCAAATCCCCCAGGTGGTGCATGTGCGAGTGAGGTAATATAGGATGATGTTCAATCATGTTACAGTGGGAGAAAAGGAAATAGAGATACGAGTGATAAGTGATGAGCGTGTAATTTTAAGCTTCCCTCTGAACACACACAGGATTACTTATTCCATTGATAGTCAGTGTGCCGCTAATTGGCATATCTCTTTGTTGTCGATTAGAGACCTTCCTTGCCCTGCTTAGGGCTATGTGATAGCACCCAAAGGGACCTATTCTATTTGAACAAGACCACGGAAACTATAGTCATACGGTCAACCGAACCAAAGCCAAAGCTAAATCCTCTTCCCTTCGCTCCTTCCCCGGCTCCACTCCAGAGCAATGCCATGACCCGGTCGAGAGCCTTCCATGCGGATTCCTTCAAAGAGAAAGAGAGAGTGTGTATTCCCGGCATCAATGACGGCTAACCTGGCTATACGACTGGAGACCGGCGATGCTTTAGATTCTTTTTATCCATTTCCGGGGATTTGTTTGCAATGGCGAAACTTTTAATTTATTTCCTTAAATATCCTCACCTATCAATACTATATATCCTAAAAATAAATTTCGTATCTACTGTTGGTTGACTCTTATTGTTCAGTTGTATAACTTGTATTTTCAGTTGTGGCTCCCATGCCAATGTCAGCTTCATCTTCCATTCAACTAAAAATAATGTTAGGTTAGGTTTTTTGTTTTAATTTGTGAAACTTGCAAAGTCCAAAATGCTAGTACGAGTTCATAACTTCACCGAATTATTGAGAATTTGGGACCATTATTTATTACAAACCTAGCTGATACTTAGCTCTTCTTCCATGGGTACCCCTCAACTCCACACATCTTTTCTTGGTGGCTATCGGTGCATGTCATGTGCAACAAGAGCAACTTGTATAGTCTGATTATACTACATTATTGCAATAAATAGGTCACATATGTAAAGAAAAACTAACACATATTATTATATTATTTACACAGAACATTACTATGATAGTTTTCATGTGTACCACAAATCATTCTCCATGTGCAACACAGGCAACCACATCTTTAATCTGTTTCACGTGAACATGTTGACTAAATAGAAACCATGCATAAATGTTTCAAGCAAATTAAGTCCGATGGCCTTCAGATCACTTCTGGTGTATTTGTACAACGCCCTTATCTCTTTTTGTGCGATTCCATTATTGTATACCAACTTGTATAAAAGCCCTAGCGACCTATTTTGAATGCAGCTACATTATTGCAATAAATAGGTTCGTACGTATTCACATGTTCAGTTTGTCTTGGCCTCTTGTTTTAACTAATACTAGCCATTGACATAAATTATGTCAGTGGTAATTTGAATTCCAGCGGCTAGTTTTAATTTATGTCAGTGGTAATTTGGATTTTAGTACGTATTCACATGTTCAATGTGCGACTACGTTATACTTCTTTTTCTTATGTCGGAAGAACTTTCAAATTTGAGTCTCCCCTCCCGGTGTTAAAAGAAGAAGAATTTCATAGATTGAAAGGTAGGTTGGTTTGGTTCACGAATAATGTAGATCAGATTGAGGAATGGATTGAAAATCATGTTGAAAGGTGCATTGGCGGAGGCATATTAGGACCAGAGTAGTCCTAGGCCTATCCTCACTTGTAAAAATAAGATTAATTTTACACCTTGCTTTGCTTTGCAACCCTTCTCAACAGTTCAAACAAATCCATTCATTATCTATTTTTAATCCAACAAATTCCATCCCAAAAATTAAGTATAATATTTTAAATCGTCATTTATCACAAATCAATAACATTTAAATTAAACCCATCATTCACTTTGAATTAAAAAAAAAATTGTATTTCACTTTTACACTTTCAGAGGTATTCCCTTATTCTTCTTGAATTTCATATATTTAACCATTCAAATCCTAAATTTATTGAATAAAGAACAATAAGGTTTGTAAAACTCTATTATCCTCTATAAAACATTTGTTTCTATACTACCCTACCTCTTACTTGAGTTTTAGGGTTTGCAAATTTTTAGTAATTCTCTCTATTGAGTTTAATAATTCTTTCAATAGTATATATGACATCATGCAATGGTCTCAAAATATGAAATTTGTCGAGGATAATTATGATGACTATGAATAGATAAAATTATCTATGGGTATATTAATTTTGACTATCAAATTACTTGGATGTATATTATGATGTTTTGCAATTGTAATTTTATAACCACTATTCGTTTTTTCTTCTTCTATACTTGTGTGAGGCCCCTCCTCACAAGAAATCCTAGCACCGCCACTAGAAAGATACAAATCGGTCAGCAATAACAAAGCCTTGCATATTTTGGCTCTGGTGTTCAATTTGGGGCCATGACCAATCATTTCGGAAAACAAATGGTGACTACTATCAAACTCCCTACTTCGCTGTGTTATATGGTCTTTTTGGCTAAATTCTATCATTACTACCAGAAAAACCATTTGGCCAACGAACCAAATTTCTTCGGGCATGTGCTAAATTCAACTAATTCTTAAACGGAAAACTAAGCGTCTCTTGAACAAAAGCGTACAAAGTTAAGTGTTATTAACTTCGTACAACACAAACTATTTTTTATTCGTGATGGACAAAATTATTTGAATCCATACATGTATTACTTCAATCAAACTACCACATAAATTTAAAAACGAAATCACAACAAAATTAACTACTTATGAAATTATCTTCAAACAAGGGTTCTATGCACTTGAATTCTCTTACCCACTGCTTAAGTCTAAAACAAGTCAATAATTTGATCGTCGGATAGCCTTTGGCTGGCACACCCCCCCTCCCTCCCCGGTCCTATGCTTACTTGCGTTTGTTCATTGTTTTGTAGGTAGTCGAGTTCGAGCACTTCCTCTACAAGCAGTAGTGCACAAATTTGGTTCCAACACTGTCGTTTCTAGGATTAAACCAGATCGAAACCCCGTGGCTCGATTCATTATTGAAATCGTAAAGGGATTTGAATCCACACTTGTTGACATTCCAACTGGTTTTGGTCCCAATACAAGCAGACTTCCACTTCTAGAATCTTCATCCTCGAACTTTTAGGATTCATATTCGAGTTCGGAGAAGACCCATCAGAATTTTTATGTTTTTTGTGTAGTACAGCTTTAGCAATAGCGAAATCCTAGTTTTAGTCATTTAACATAGTCACAACAGTTTTATATAAAAGTTTACCAAACACTCAATTGTTTTATTTTATAGTTATTTGTTCTCACAACACATCATAAACAATTTTTTTTTTTTTTAACGTAACAATACCAAACTAGTGCAGGCAATGACTTTTACCTCTCTTGTGAGATCCCACATCGTCCAAGGGAATAGATCCTCTCTGCCTTATATGTACATACCCACCTCCAATTAGCACGAGGCTTTTTGGAAACTCACCGGTTTCGGGTTCCATCGGAACTCCAAAGTTAAGCGAGATCGCACGAGAGCAATCCCAAGATGGGTGACCCACTGTGAAGTTGCTCGTGAGTTCCCAGAAACAAAACCATGAGGACGTGGTCGGGGCCCAAAACGGACAATATCGTGTTACGGCGAAGGCGGAGCCGGGATATGACATCTCTCATTTTTTTTTATATTTGCAAGTGGTCCCAATTTGCATATATTTGTAAGTGCTAAATAGCTTTAGAAATTTTTAAATAATAGTCAGTTCTCACCATTATCGCTGGTTTCAACTACTTGCAAATTTTTATGGTAATAAAGGTCAATTCTCTTGAAGAATGAGTGGGGAATGAAGGCTCAAATATTTTTTTCCAGGTTAAAATTGATTTTACTAAAATCTATACAAATTGGTTCTATTAAAAATCATATGAAATAGATTCTACGTATATTTGAATTGATTATACAAAAATAGTCGAGGATAAGTCAGGCTAATAACACGTTTGTGATTTTGTTGATATTGTACCACTTGAAAACTGATTCTTCTAAAAACTATAAAAAATGGTTCTACTAAAAAGTATACAAAAAAATATTAGACATATATTTGAAATTAATTCTGTAAAAATGATCGATGAGGGTTGAACTAGTGGCATGTATATAGCTTTGCTAAAGGAATACAAACTGATTCTACTAAAACTATTCGAAGTCATCCTACTAAAGAATATACAAAGCTGATTATATATATATATATATATATATATATATATTTGAAACTGATTCTACAGAATGGCGATGACTGGTTGGATTGATGGCATGTATGTAGTTTTGATAAAAATATACAAATTGATTCTACTAAAAATATACAAGTTGATTCTACTAAAAAGTATACAAAACTGATTGTACATGTATTTAAAACTAATTTTGCAAAAATGATCAATGACTATGAGTTGGACCGATTCCATAAATAAAGAATACAAATTGATATTTACATATAGTTTCGAGAGTGACCCTACAAAATGGTCGATGATGGTCCTTCGAAGTTGTGCGGGCTTCAGCTATGTTAATAAACATTAGTGTTAGGGGCATGGTTGAAATTTTAAAAATGCGTTTCCATGTGGGCCAGGCTTCAAGTTCAAGTATTTTTGTGTTTTTTTTCTTGAAATGCTTAAAAATTAGTGAAGTTTTTATTTTGAAATATTGTATATGCTTTTGTCTCTATATGTAAAGCTGTCTATTTATTAAGGGGTGTGATATCCACACACCTTATTTTACTTCTCACACACCTTTTTAATTTTTGACCGATGGACCAGATAAATTGAAGAATATCAACGAACAAAAATTATCAAAAGATGTGTGAGAAGTAGAACAAGATGTGTGGATAACACACCCTTTTATTAAAGGAACCATTGACTAATCTGAACGACTAACTAAGTCGCACCCAGAAGACCAGGCCACCGCAAATCAAAGAAAAATATAAAGAGGACTCTTACCTGAAAAGGTTCGATCATTCGACCGAATACAAAAAAAAGAAGTCCATCTTCGATTGGACATGGAAAGCCTACTAGAAAATGAGGTCATGACCCAGGAGATGTCTGTCCAACTAATAACCGATGATGAGCAAGAGCAACACATGGAGATGGAGGATAGTGATCAGAGTGAGGGTGAGGGTGAGGGTGAAGGTAGTGGTAGTAAACGTATCAGCCTTTTCGCCAGGTCTCAAAAAGAAATCATGAAGCTCATTTTTGTAGTTAATTACCGTGTTCCTGATGAGGGCCATGCCAGCCTTAATGTTCAGAAAATCTTTAAGGATTCAGCCAAGATCATTCACAATATTATTGAGCAGGTATTTATTTTATACTGCTGCTCCTTTCTATCTACTCTTAATAACTTTAAGCAGTAAGAAAATAGTGCTTATTTAGTTTTTTTTTTTTTTTTTATAATAGTAATACTGGGGAAATGGGTACTCGACAACTTTAAACTGTTCGTGTTTGTATCTTCTTTTTATATTTTTTTCCTTACGACTGTTTTTGGTTTCTTCCCGTTGTAACTGTTATGTTATGAGAATTACACCGTCGACAAACTTCTAATTGCAAACTTGAAACTTGACTATAATCTAGGATTGCTTGATTTGTGAAGAAGAAAAAAAAAAAAAAAAAAACCTCAAATTAAATGTTTAAAGAAATGCACTTCAGTAATGTCAGAGTGTTTAGTAATAATTAGATATTAGTTGAAACACCCAAAGATGATTACCACATTTGCATGTTTTGTCGCAGGGCAGCGGATTTAATGATGGTGAAACACCCAAAGCCAGCTCCAGCTCGTGCACTCTTGTTAACTCCTTTGGCTGCAAGGTCATCATATTAACTGAATACTATTTTTCTTTTTGTTCTTAATTTGGTAATCCTTTTAGTCATTACTGGTGAAAATGAAAGTGTTGTTCAATTTTTGTTTAAGAAATTATATTGTCATTTCAAATATCCTTGATTGAAGTTCGATGTTAAATTAATTAGATTTTTTTTAGTTTCTTTTTTAGCACTTTTAATCGTATCTTCATTGGTGCACCTTCCAATGAAAAAGTGTTAATCTTATCTAAAGATAAAAATCCTATTGTCCCGTTTTATGTTGTTAACAACACTATGATGCAATTTCAGATGTCGTGTAAGAGTCCAGGTGATGAAACTGCCTTTGAATCACGTACGGAAGAAATACTTACAAAACTATCAAGTTATCCATATGAAGTACAGGCAGTATTGGCCCTGGCCCTTTTTGCTTTGGAATATGAAGAATGTTCCAGCCAACTTTCCAAGAAATCGACAACGCTGAAACGCCAAGATGCAGTAGTCGAGCTTAACAATCTGGTCAACCAAGTGTTACAAGTGATTGAGCACATCCTTGAGTTGGAGAAACTAATTTCTGGTGATCGAGACAGTGAACCAAAATTGGCGAGGGTAATTATGGATACCCCATTTAATGCCTACTGGTCAATCATAACTCTTGTAGCTTGCGCAACTGAGCTCTCTTTTCTTACCGGTGATGAGTAAGTTCTTGTACTAAATTTTCTATTAAGATTTGATAAAAGAAAACAAAAACAATTCTTCTTGCCAACTACGTATATGGGTTTTATATGTGTGTGTGTGTGTGTGTGTGTGTGTGTAATAACTAGAAGGGTTCTTTTGTTAAAATCTATATTTGACTGTGTTTTTGTGACGTAATTTCTAAGAACAAGGAATGAAGAACAACACAGAGAATTTCAGAGAGAATTGCACGAGCTAATCGTAGCAGCTCTGCAAGATATTTTCATTGATTCAAACATTGGTTGTTTGTACAATCTTCTTCTTCTTCACTACAAAACAAAGACAACTAGCTAAAAGCAATTTAAGCCCTTCAATTAGGAAACTAATATGGTGCATACAATTGTCCTATGAGACTAAGTCCACACCTTACCACTGACATAAATTAAAACTAGCCACTGGAATTCAAATTTAAAACTGTCAGATTTCTTGCATTCCAAACTTTCGAGAACATTAAGTTAAATTTGCTAAAATCCAAATTTAAAACTAGCAGATTTCTTGCAGTTCAAACATCTTTAAGGTTTGGTATATTCAAAATTTCCTATTTATATCCGACTATCATTTGATTTCCTCTTAAATTATTTCAGGGACATCAAGTCATATGATCTATCCCATTTTTCTCAAAAAATCAGCTGCATCCTCAACAAGCTTGAGGGACAACTTACAATCTGCCAACAAGAAAAAGGTCGGTTGTGGATGCATGATATGACTCCCGAGGAACAATATATATTGCATTTTCCATTAGTCCAATATTGTTGAATCTTTTTTTTTTCTTCTAATTAATACAGAGGAGGTAGAGCTTTGGGAACTTGTACTCACTGCCCCTCCTAAAATTACCGAGGTTTTCCAAAGGCTGGTTCTTTTCAAGCATAAAGCGTATCCGCAGCCTCCCATCATCAGTGTTAATCCCACTAACAAGGAGGTTTGGTCCCCTAGCACAAGTTTCTTTAATTTTGCATCAGAAATTAAGGAAATTAAGGAAAGATAAGTCGTATTTATTAAATTAAAAAACGATACATCCAAGTGAAAATTTAAATCACTCTGGACTCCAACTCGAAATAACCGATTTGAGTAACCCGGCTATTGAACCGAAAATACCAACAATCATATTTATCTTTCCACCGTCAAATTCCGCACCAGGTCTACCTAGGACATTGATTTTTATCATATATGTAATACTACTCAGGAACTAATTTAATTGTAGTTATCTTCTTTTATCTATTTTTCACGTACAGGCTTTTAACATCAATGTGCTAGTGGGGAAGTGTGTGTTATTTTACATTTCAAGGCTGGACAATGTTTCTGATCAAGATATTTCATGTCTCAAAGAAGTGTATGAGGGAATCGAAAAGCATAACAAGTGTGTGATTGTGTGGATCCCTGTTGTTGAGGACTGGACTGAAAGAGGAGGAGAGCAGTTTGAGGAATGGAGGTCTAAGATGCCATGGTACGCGGTGCAATATTTTTCGCCCCCGGCCATTGGGTACCTTGAGCGGCGGTGGAACTTTGAAGGTAATCCTATGGTGGTGGTGATGAACCAGATAGGAAACGTGGTAAACACCAACATAATCGACTTGATTCGGACACAAGCAACGGAGGCAATTGCTTTGCTTAACGTTGAAATACGAAAAGGAATATGTGCATCACTACAGGCCATTTTTCCTTGGTAGGAAGAGCACATAAAATTGTGTTGGCATTGCTAAAGCTAATGATTTTGTTTCTCCTTTTTATTAATTGTTTTAACCAGGGTACGATGATTTCAGCTCAGGAGCTCGTAGGCGTGTAACTCTTGACGCTGTGGAGGTGTTGAAGAGGTTGACTTATCCTAGGCAAGTCGCTGCTGCGAGGCCTATTCTTCTTGATGGAAACAAGCAGGTTTGTTCTCATTCTATATTAATAGTCTAGCCACGATTTGGCGTTAAAAATTGTCAAATTATCCAGGTCGGATTCCGCGTTAAAAGTTAAAGAATCTTGTCACAAATTATCATTAACTGTGCTGGAATTTTCTTTCAAACAGGTTGATATCAACAAGGAGCTGAAGTGTAAGGGTCTGTTTTTGTTACTCTCCGACGTAGGCATTACTGATAATTACATTTCATATCTCAAACCAGTTTATGAGAGAATAAGAAAATACCAAACGCATCAGATTATCTGGGTTCCCGTTGTGGAGCAGTGGAACCAAGACAAAGAAAAACAACTTGAGATGTCGAGGTTGAAGATGCCGTGGTACACATTGAAGTGTTTTTCAACCATACCAGGCATCAAGGACATGAAGGAGAAGTGGAATTACAACGGTAAGCCTGCGGTGGTGGTGCTGAACAGGGAAGGTGACGTGGAATGTAAAAATGCTTTCCCCTCGATTAAGAAACATGGAGCGGACGCCTTTCGTTTCTTTAAATGAGATATATAATATCATTACTACGGTGGCTACACCGCATGCCGGTAAACTGTGCAGCTGCCCATTATTCCTAAAATAAGAAGCAGTTTTATTGCATCTATTATCTAGATCACCATCCACCAGCGTGATGTAACCTGTGTTTATTAATATTTGTGAACTTACATCTTGATATTTGTTTGGATAATCGGAATCATTAATTTGAAACGACTGTTTAGCTTTCATTCAATCGCTTTAATTACTTGGATAATGTGCATGAGATCACATGAACTTCTTGTTGATATTATTGTAATTGATTGATATATATCATGCACTGCAAACTGTGAGTGGGATATATGAGTCACGTGGTTTATATGGGCTTGTGTCATGATGAATTGAATTGGTGTGATGAATGCAAATGTAGAATTCAACCCCCTACCGATCAAGTTTTAGGGTACTCATAAACGATTACTGGTAGAGACATATGAATCATGTGGTTTATATGGGCTTGCGTCGTGATGAATGTGAACGTAGAATTCAACCCCCTACGGATAGAATTTAGGGTACTCTTAAACAATTGCTGGTAAAGACAATTTTTTTTAAGGTTGGTAAAGACAATCTTTATGTGAGGGATGACTTTGCGACTAAGAGAAACGTACTTTTTGTATTTTTAAAGAGCAATAATAAGTGAATGTTGTATCATGTGAGGGGCGACTTTACGACTTTGCGACCGGTCAACGTTGATTTTCTGTTGACTTTTTCAGGTTTTGGTCATGACCCCTCCTAAGCTAATTTTAATGTCCTAAATCTGTTTTGACGTCCATTTTCTGAAATTCAATCATTTGAGTAGAGTTTTATTAATTGTACCCTTTATGTGCTTAGGTGCGATTATTAGGGGCGATTCCATCATTCCTATTTCGTACGGCTCTTTGACGATAGAGTATCTGTGAGTGGACCCCTTCTAAAATGCATGTTTTAATAGTAAAAATGCATACTTAAAAAGCATGATTTAATGTTTACATTTTATGAAACGTTTTACATGTAAATTGGATTTACACTTTATAATTATCATGCTTTACAGAGAATATTTTGGAATACTATACTTTATTGAATTTATATTCTTTGTAGTATATATGATGGATGATTATATACTATTTATGTAAAACCCCTCCCCCAAATTATTGTACTTTCATTAATTTCCCTTAGAAGTTTATGAAATGTGCAATTTGGTCCCCACTTACTTACCCTATCCAAATCCACTTTTTGGATTCTCTCCCTTTGTTTAGCTACCACGTGGCAGCCCCTAAACTTACTTCTCTCTCTTTCCCCAATCTCTCTCTCTCTCAGCTATCTATCCCTCTCACTCACTCTTTCATCTCTCTCAGACCACCCTCGCACTCACTCTCCTCAATTTCCCTTCACAAACTCACCGTCACACACGACCCACCCCCATGACGGCGCACCACCACAACCACCTTCGTGGACCCTCTCTCTCACTCTCCCTTGTCTCTGCAAGCTCTAAGACACCTAGTGGCACCCAAATCTCTCCAGCGAGCCCCATACCTTCCGAGCGAGATTATGGCCATCACCGGCCGTTCCATGGCTAACCCTAGGTACCAACTTACTCCTCTCACCTCCCTCTTCAATTTGACACCTAGATCGGAGTATAGGGTTTCATTTTGTTGTTGACCGGAGCACGGAAGGCTCCTAGGCCTTTTGAGCCGTTTAGAACTCGGGCTTTAGGCCCGTTAGACCTAAAACCAACCCAAATCCTTTATTTTATTTTTATTTACTTTTATAAAACCCAAAGGCCATGGAGCCATTTATGTTAGGGCCTTAAGCCTGTTAGCCCCCAAAACCCTTTGACCCTTCAAGCTCAGGCCTTAGGGCCGCATAGGATTAGGCCTACGTGCCTTTGCATCCAAGCCCAAACCCTTTTAGAACATTAGGACCCTTAGGCCTTGAGCCATGAGAACCTGGGCCTTTGGCTTGTTTACCCAAAACCCTAAACCCTTGGGCTTTAGAACCCAAGCCCGAAACTCTTAAGCCCTAGGCCCAGCCCGAGTTGAACCCAGCCCATATCCGGTTTGACTAACTCGGATCGTTGACTTTGATCGATCAATGTTGACTTTTTTCGGGTTTTTGTCTGGGACCTCTCCTAGGCTAATTTCGACATCGTGGATCCGTTTTTGACGTTCGTCTTCCCAAATTCAACCTTTATGTGCTTATGTGCAATGATTAGCAGAGATCCAATTCTTCCTATTTCGTACAACTCTTCTACGACGGAGTATCTGTGAGTGGACCCCTTCTAAAATGCATGTTTTAATAGTAAAAATGCATATATGAAAAGCATGATTTAATGAGCACGTTTTATGAAACATTTGTTTAGTAAATTGGAGTTACCTTATATGATTATCATGCTTACTTAGAATATTTTGGAATACCATATTTTCTATCGAACACATGTTCTTTGTAGAATATCTTATGGGTGATGATATACTATTTAGAACATGTTTTTACACACTTCTTTATAGTATAGATGATGGATAACTTTATACTATGAAGATGTTTTTGAGATATATATACCTATGTTTGGAAAGACTATGTTCAATGATTTTGTACGTATCTAGTGGTCACTATTCTACCAGGGGTGAGGAAACGGTGTTAGCTGAGGGCCAGGAGAAATAATCCTTGACTTCGGGTCAAAATACATGGTATAGCTGGCATAGGGCAGGGAGAAAATAATCTCTCGCTTCGGGTTGAGAGATATGGTATAGCTGGCATTGGGTCGAAAGATATTGTTACTGATATCTTTATTTAGCACACTATATACGAGATATGTTTTATAAAATGTTTTATGGCATGCTAGGGTTTCAGAAACCTATCACTTATTATGCTATTAGTTTTCATAAAACTTTGGGGGTTAGAATGTTGATAATTGTTTCTATATTATTATATATATCAACTTGGTCCACTCATGTTTATTTTGCACCCCCTCAGGACATAGGAACGAGGACTACGATCTGACATACGAGGCATTCCCCTACCAATGATATCTTGTCATCTTCCCTACTTTTGACATCTATTGTAATAGCACTTCTCTGCTTTACTTTCCGCTTGTACTCTGAATTAGTTGTATGCTCTGAACATGTCATGCATTATCATTAGATTCATATTGGCAGTTGAATATTATTATTGTATTTTGTAAGACTTATGTTGAATACTATATAGCATAGTGACGTGTGGAATTTTTATGCATATTTCACGTGTTCTTAGCGTATGCATTCATTAAATGGCTTTCGTCACCCTCTGGTGTTGGCCAGCACGTGACCATCCCAATGTCCATTGGATATCGGGATCGGGCCGTGTCAATTTATGAACATGTTTTTACACACTCTTTATAGTATATATGGTTGGATGACTATATACTATGAAGAGGTTTTGAGATATATGATATATGTTTTATGGGAAGACTATATTCAACGTTTTGTTCTTATCTAGTGGTCATTGTTCTGCCTACGAGCGTTGATACATATATTGGCTTCGGCCGGGCGTAGGTTGGTGGCTTCGGTCGTGAGATACTGATACTGATACCACAATTTAGCACACCATATATGATATATGTTTTATGAAAGGTTTTATGGCATGCTAGGGTTTTCGGAAAACATATCACATATTATGCTAATAGTTTTCATAACACTTTGGGGGATAGTACGTTATTGAATAACTATTTTATTACTATTTATTTATCAACTTAGTCCACTCATGTTTGTTTTGCGCCCCCTCAGGACTTAGAATCGAGGCATACAATCTCTGCGTCAAGGCACTCCCACATCGGCATCTTCAAGTCCTCTCGATGTAGGACCCACTCCTTTGTCCATTCAATTTTATATTATTTGTTTTTAGTGTTCTAGTTAGTTGTATGCTTTGAACAACTTCCTAATTTGCATATTCATTATATTTAAATTCATAACTTTTATTTATATTCATAGGTTCTCATGCATATTAGTATGGCTTCATCACCTTCAGGTGTCGACCAGCACGTGCCTACTCCGGGTATTTGGAGGATATCGAGGTTGGGCATGCTAATTAGGGAGCTTTAATGAGTGTTGATTTTAATTTGGAAACAACACTTTAGTTTGGGCAAATTTTTGAGTTTATGTCATGTCTTTTGAGTTAAATAATACAACCTTCCATCATTTAAAACAAACTAAGTAATAATATTTCTAGAAATAGTGGTCACCATTTCTAGATAATGACACTATTTTTAGAAATAGTGGGCACCATGTACTACATTGACATATAACACATGACATGCAATATATGAAAGACGTAGTATTTTAGTAATTTTGACAATTTTGGGTTGGAAAATATTATATATAATTACGTATATTATAAGATACAAGGTGCATGATATGCAAATGCACAACAGCAGGAAGTATATATATGTATGCATGTACCTGAAAGAAACCTAGTTCCATAGAATCCATCCTAATATTGATGGTAATTTGAGGACTAAGAACTGGACTTTGCAAAGAGGAAAGGTCAACTACCGGGGAGTGGAGCTGGGCGTTGTGAATGAGGAAGAACATAGTGTGAGTGCAATAGTAAACTAGTTGGGACAAGGACTCGGTAAGGTGACAGGGGAGAGAGAGATTGGGGAGAGGTGAGAGTAGAAAGGAGCGAGAGAAAGTTGATGGTGACAAGTGAAAAATACCAGGGAGATTGGGTTGGGGTGACAGTAGAATGGTGGGACGTAAGGTCATCTCCCACCGAATGCTGGCCAGATGATTCGTTTTAGCCCTCTGTGAAGGAAGATTTGTGAAAAACATGTTCATTTAAGCAACATCAATAACATGCAATTAACAATTAAAAGGCGGAATCATGTTTATATGCACTCAAAAACAAAACATTTACCCATGAAATTCAAAGCCTAGTAGATAGGTGAACCAAGACTCAACTCAAAACAAAGTGAGTTGAGAAATCAATACCTTTGTAGATTCCTCTTTGCATAAGCAAAGGCTAATCACCCAAAGAGAGGGCCTTCATTCCTTGCATCTTAGATCCATGGATTTGGATGGATGAAAAGGTTTCTCCAAGTTCCCAAAATTGAGAACCTCTAATGATTCATCACCAAGGCATAATGAAGAAGAAATGAGTGACCTTGGAGGAGTTTGATTGCTAGATGATCCCTCCAAGGTGGCCTAAATTTTAGAGAGAAATGAGAGCTTGTGTTCTCATCCTT